ATGTATGTATGTATGTATGTATGTATGTATGTATGTATATATATATATGTATATACGTGTGTGGGTGTTTCTATATATATATGTGTGTGTATGTAGAGGTGTAACTACAACTGTGGTAACACGGAGAGGCGACTGCGACGGTCGGTGTCGCGAGGCGGAGTGATAGCCGAGCGTCTGCGTGCGACTGTGTCTATCGGCGGGCAGAAGTAGGCAGACGATGCGGTGATGCCCGCGCGCGCGCCCGCTAATCACCCAGCAGACAAGGCGAACCGCGGCGCGTAATTGCTCGAGGAAGTGAGCCGTGCACGGATGGAAGTGACACTGTCCGAGTCTCCCTCTGTGTGTGTGTGTGTGTGTGTGTGNATTAACAGCGCATACCGGGACCTACCTTAGTCCTTTTTCATGAGGTACTGTAAAAACCTGCCCCTCAGCCCCTGCCATGTTCGGCCCGGTACGACCTGGTGAAAAAAATTAATTACACATTGTTTGCTCATAAACATGAACTATAATTGTAAAAAAACATGAGGAAATATTTAAAGCTTTTAGAGTCAACTTGAAAGCTATTTATACATCTTACTTATGAATAATCTTATACAAGGCATATAGCTGACCCTACATGTTGNCCTAAGGCGAGCTAATGTCTTACGCACTGTGTCATGCTATGTCTCACTCACTGTCTCACGCACTGTCTCAAGCACTGTCTCACGCACTGTCTCATGCTATGTCTTACGCACTGTGTCATGCTATGTCTTACGCACTGTATCATGCTATGTCTCACTCACTGTCTCACGCACTGTCTCACGCACTGTCTCACGCATTGTCTCACGCACTGTCTCACACACTGTGTCATGCTATGTCTCACGCACTGTGTCATGCACTGTATCATGCTATGTCTCACGCACTGTGTCATGCTATGTCTCACGCACTGTATCACGCGCTGTCTCACGCACTGTCTCACGCACTGTCTCTCGCACTGTGTCATGTTATGTCTCACGCACTGTCTCACGCACTGTCTCAAGCACTGTCTCACGCACTGCCTCACGCACTGTCTCACGCACTGTGTCATGCTATGTCTCACGCACTGTGTCATGCTATGTCTCACGCACTGTGTCATGCTATGACTCACGCACTGTCTCACGCACTGTGTCATTCTATGTCTCACGCACTGTTTCACGCACTGTGTCATGCACTGTCTCACGCATTGTCTCACGCACTGTCTCATGCACTGTGTTATGCTATGTCTCACGCACTGTTTCACGCACTGTGTC